AGGTACTGACAATGAAGAGACAAATGGGACGTAAGTTTTGCAGTCAAGGAACAGCAGTTTAGTTACAAATATAAATAAGCATATAACCATGAAACAATATAATGCCTTAAAATATATTGATTACATAGAATGTTAGGATACCAAGGGTACAAAACTTCAACAGAGCTTGTATCAACACCTACATCTACCATTGAGCACTATTTCATGCAATTATCTACCTTGAAAATCTTCTAAATATCTTCATTTGATTTTTCATATAAGAATATGCTTCTACAGTCACACCAATTACCTCCTATTCATTCAGTTTGCTAATCTCAGGAAATTATTGGAAAGAAATCATTCTGAATACAGTAGCTTACCCTTAGATGTGAATGTAGTATAAAAACTAGTATTTACTTGTGATACTTTTATTTCTAAAACTTGTCATGTTAACTCAAATCCCTAACATGTTTGAATTATAGGCAAGAATTCAAAGTAAGAATCTCAAGTAATTATACTTCGGTAAATGGAGAATGGTATGGTAATGAAAGGAATAGAAAAAGTTTAATTAGCCACCTGATTTTCATATGGCCAATGGGAATTTCTGCAGGAATTGGTAACTTGATATTTATGATAAGGAACATTTCAAGTGACACTGAGGATGATAAATATTGACTATAACTTCTAGCAAGTCTTGCACTGATAGTCAGGAAACTGTCTGGCAGGCTTCTATGATTCCAGGAAGTAAAGAACATCTTAACACCTCCCTCTTTCATTAAAGTTAATTGCTTAATATCATAATAATTTGGTGCTAGTGTTTGCTCAAAAGTGGAAGAAAATACGTAAATATTATGTGAGTTAAACTGTAAAATATATGCAAATTATCGATGGAGTCCAAAGACTAGAACAAATTGCAGATTGTTTCTGAGAGGTTTTAAAACCAAAAAAAAAAAAAACCTGTCGTCTACAAAGCAGGAAGTCCAGTTCCTTAACTTTAATTCAAAATTCTGTGGTCTGGATCAATGGATCATGTGTACCTATTCATTTCTTGCCACTGCCCCTTGCAGAAAGCTCATTGCTTGCCTCAGTTACTCTAAACTGTTTATCTGCTAAGCATATTTTCTTTATTGTACCTAGGATTCAACACTTAAAACACTAAAGTTACAGATTTGTTTAACTTAGTGAAAGATTATTCTATCATGAGGTATAAGTTATTAGATTTCTAGCTTTCCATTAACTTAATGAAGGTGCTTAGTTCAACATTTTTTCTTCTTCAAGATCACTTTCTGTGTTTGCAAAGTTAAGGAAATGGATCTAAATAATCTCTCAGGTTCCTTACTGTCAAAATACATACTAATTCTATTATTCTCAACTCACTTGTTTTCCAGTCATCCCAATGAATCTTTATTCTCACCAATTGTTTTCCTTGATGCATTTGTGAACTTTTTTACAAGAAATTGGAGAAGCCCTGGTGTATTTCCCTGGATAGAGGCCTAATTGTTTCCAATAAAATAATATTTCCTCATTTCATTCTCTGACAACAGCTCTTAGTAAGTTGCTAACCTTAGGCCAGGATTCTATGAAAACTTCATCAAATTACTGAGTAAACAGAGTTCAAGCTACTATGAACAGAAAAATAGAGAAGAAATAATGAGCAAAATGTAGATTTCCAATGCAATTTTTACCACTGTTTATAGTATCTGTAAATAAGCATTGCTTTTTTTTCTTGTACTCTTGGAAAAAAATTTTGTGGTAAAACTACTCTAGAAATACACCAACTAATAATGAAGTTTAAATTCCAAACCAAAATTAAGTTTAGCATCACAAAATAGATTTCATTCTGAATCAGTGGTTGTTGAATTAACAGAGGTTCTACAGATTCATGTTTTCAGTCTATATTAGTCCTTGTTTACACCGCAGAGACTATCCCATATAGCAGGGACTCAGTAAATACTTGTTGAATTACTGGAAGGAATATAGCTATATTCAACAATTATTTATTCATTGTAGCTTTGCTGAGGGGTACAGTAGAGAAAGCTTAACCTCATTCCACATAAAGAGTTTTTGGTTTTTTAATGACAGAATTACAGAATCATGGCTATTTGGACTTATCGTCTCAATTAACCTCTACGTCTGAGACAAGCCTCTGAGGTCTCATTATTCCCAAAGACATAACTATTATAAAGTTTCATAAAGTTGATTTTCTTTTTGTCACAGTCAAACTGTTGCCAAATCACAGTGCTTTGTATACTTTCTGGTATCTCTGGGGTAACCAACAGCCTACTCAATAGGAGGAAATTCATACCTGAGACTGAACCTAGTCAACCTGTGACTAGAGCGACCATAGACCTGACAGGAGATCTACTACTGTCATTTCTCTAAACCAATACCATTTCTAAGTGTATTCTAAATACTTGTTCACAGATAAGTTTACTCCTCACATTCATCAAAGAATCTTCTTTTTCCAACAGATGAAGATTATTGCAGAGATCTACAGCCAGTCAAAATGCAGAGAATAAGCAATCATGGGTTGCCCATTCCTAATTGGCACATCTTCAATACAACCCCTACACCTTAACGGAGAGAACAGAAACACCATAGGAGTCAGATGGCCAGGATACCTGCAGCAAGACAATGTATTTTGGACATGGCAGGGGAACCATTGAGATTTCATCGAACCATGAAATCTCAATGATATGATTGCCTAAATAATATCTTCACAATAACAACCGTTGATACACCAATGTGAATAAGGGGAATTTCACAAGGCCTCGCTTCTAGATGAAGAGCTTCAGGCAATCAATGGCTGCTAAAAGAGGAAGAATCCATTTTCTCTGATGAAAAGCCCCCTGATACATTATCCAATCTCAGTGGTCATCCCTTAAGCACACATATATACAAGCCACACTAAATAGTAAATGGACTCAGCAGGTTATATGCAAGTGTGTGTGTGTGTGTGTGTGTGTGTGTGTGTGTGTAATAATACATACAAAAGAGGCCATGGATTCAAAAGGGAGCACAGGAGCAGATGTAAGTGAAAGAGAGGGGTGGAAATAATATAAGCACAGTACTGAAGCATGAAATTCTCAAGATAATATAAAAATACAAATAAAAATATAACTATACATCTACAGAGGACTTATCTCCTCTCTAAAACAACAAATAATCCAATTAAAAAGTGGGGGTACAGAACTAAATAGAGAATTCTCAATAGAGGAGTATAAAATGACTGTTAGACAGTGCTCAACATCCTTAGCCATCAGGGAAATGCAAATCAAAACAGCTCTGAGATACTATCTTACTCCTGTCAGAATGGCTACAATCAAAAACACCAATGACAGTTTATGCTAGAGAGGTTTAGAGAATGGGGAACACTCCTCCATTGCTGGTGGGAGTGCCAACTTGTACAGCTGCTTTGGAAATCAGTATGGAGATTTCTCAGGAAAATGGGAATCAGTCTACCACAAGATCCAGCAATTCCACTCTTAGGGATATACTCAAAAGATGTGCATTCATACAATAAGGACATCTGTTCAGCTATGTTCATAGCAGCATTATTTATACTAGCCAGAACCTGGAAGCAACCTAGAAGCCTCTCAACTGAAGAGTGGATAAAGAAAATTTACACAATTGAGTACTACTCAGCAGGAAAAAAAAACAGTGGAATCTTGAAATTTGCAGGCAAATGGATGGCACTAGAAGAAACCATCCTGAGTGAGGTAACTCAGTCACAAAAAGACAAACATGGTATGTACTCACTCATATATGGATTTTAGACATGGATTAGGGGCTTGCCAGCCTACAATCCCACTGCCAGAGAGTCCTGGAAACAGGGAGGACCCTAAGAGAGATATGCATGGTACCCCAGAGAAGGGGAATGGGACAGGAACTCCTGAGCAGATTGGGAGCATGGGGGGAGGGGAGAGGGAGCTGGGAGAGAGAAAGGGGAAGAAAAGGAGGGGAGAGGAGGACATAGGGGAGCAGCAAGTTTGTGTAGGGGTTAGAATAGAGATGAGCAGGATGAGAGATACCATAATAGAGGGAGTCATTATAGGTTAGAGGAGAGATCTGACACTAGTGAGATTTCCAGAGATCTACAAGGATGACACCAACTGGCAATGTAAGCAACAGTGGAAAGGCTGCTTTAAATGCCCTTTCCTGATAATGAGATTGATGGCTATCTTAAATGCCATCCTAGAACCTTCATCCAGTGTCAGATGGAAGCAGAGGCAGACACCCACACCTAAACACTGAACTGAACTCCTGGAACCAAGTTGCAGAAAGGGAGGAGTGATGAGCAAAGGGGTCAAGACCAGGCTAGTGAAACCCACAGAAACAGCTGACCTGAACTATGGGGAGCTCATGGACCCCCAAATGATGGCTGAGAGGCCAGCATGGGACTGATTCAGACCCACTGAACGTGGGTGTCAGTGAGGAGGCCTCTGCAATCTAGGGGGCCCTGGGTAGTGGACCAGTATCTATCCCTGGCGTACAAATGGACTTTGGGAGCCCATTCCACATGGAGGGATGCTCTCTCCGACTAGACACATGGGGGAAGGCCTAGACCCTGCCCCAGATGATATGACAGATTTGGAGCTTCCCCATGGAAGGCCTCACCCTTCCTGGGAAGCAGAAGGAGGATGGGGTGGAGGGTTGGGAGGGTTGTTGAGGGTGCGGGAGGAGGGGAGGGTGAGGGAGTTGGGATTGACATGTGAAGCAAGCGTGTTTCTAAATTAAATAAAAATAAATAAATAAAATGTAATTGATACTGAAAGAGTAATGTTCTACGCAAAGCTCTATGGTTTGAGAATGGCAATTTTAATTGTATATGAAACCATTGAACCGTTTAGCATTTGGAACTGGGACAATATTTAAGTGACTATTTAAATCTAGCTGTGTGACGTTTTTATTTGTGAGTTCATTAGAGTAAAGTAAGTTTTAGCTTTAAAAATCATCTTTAAAATTTGCTTCCCGTATTCCTGCGCCTCTGCTCCGTCCCCCGCCGGTCTGCTCTGTGTGCCATGGACAGAATCATCCCAGACATAGCAGTCGGTACAAAGCAGGGATCCGAGGAGCTCTTCTCCACGTGTGTCAGCAATGGCCCCTTCATGATGAGCAGCTGGGCTTCAGCAGCCAATGGAAATGATAGCAAGACGTTCAAGGGGACAACAGGAGCACAGGGTTCCCTTCCAGAGTCATCCACATCCGCAAGCTACCCAGTGATGTCACTGAGGACGAGGTCATCTCTCTGGAACTGCCTTTGGGAAGGTCACCAACCTCCTTATGCTGAAGGGGAAAAACCAGGCCTTCACAGAGGAGGCTGCCAGCACCATGGTCAACTACTATACGTCAGTGGCACCCGTGCTGCGTGGACAGCCCGTCTACATTCAGTTCTCCAACCACAAGGAGCTCAAAACTGACAGCTCACCGAACCAGGCATGGGCCCAGGCAGCCCTGCAGGCTGTGAACTCTGTGCAGTCCGGAAACCTGGCGTTGGCAGCCTCTGCTGCTGCCGTGGATGCAGGGATGGTAATGGCAGGCCAGGGCCCAGTGCTCAGAATCATTGTGGAAAACCTCTTTTACCCAGTGACCCTGGATGTTCTGCAACAGATCTTCTCTAAGTTTGGGACAGTCCTGAAGATCATCACATTCACCAGGAATAACCAGTTCCAGGTGCTGCTGCGTAGTACGCTGACCCTGTGAGCGCCCAACATGCCAAGCTGTCGCTGGACGGCCAGAACATGTACAACGCCTGCTGCACGTTTCGCATCGACTTCTCCAAGCTCACTAGTCTCAGTGACAAATACAACAATGACAAGTGCAGAGATTCCACTCGGCCTGACTTGCCCTCTGGGGACAGCCAGCCTTCACTGGACCAGACCACGGCTGCAGCCTTTGCTGTGCCCGTCATAACGTCAGCCTCTCCGTATGCAGAAGCTGGGTTTCCTCCCACCTTTGCCATCCCTCAGGCCGCAGGCCTCTCTGTTCCTAATGTCCACGGAGCGTTGGCCCCTCTGGCCATACCATCTGCTGCTGCCGGTGCTGCAGCTGGCCGCATTGCCATCCCAGGCCTGGCAGGCGCCGGAAATTCTGTCCTTCTGGTCAGCAACCTGAACCCTGAGAGAGTCACACCCCAAAGCCACTTTATTCTCTTCGGAGTCTATGGTGATGTGCAGCGGGTGAAGATTCTGTTCAAAAAGAAGGAAAAAGCACTCGTCCAGATGGCGGATGGCAGCCAGGCCCAGCTGGCCATGAGCCACCTGAATGGGCACAAGCTCCATGGGAAGTCAGTGCGTATCACACTGTCAAAGCATCAGAGTGTGCAGCTGCCTCGTGAGGGACAGGAGGACCAGGGCCTGACCAAGGACTATGGTAGCTCACCACTGCATTGCTTCAAGAAGCCAGGCTCTAAGAACTTCCAGAACATCTTCCCGCCCTCAGCTACTCTCCACCTCTCCAATATCCCGCCCTCTGTGTCGGAGGATGACCTCAAGAGCCTCTTCTCCAGCAATGGCGGTGTGGCCAAAGGCTTCAAGTTCTTCCAGAAGGACAGAAAGATGGCCCTGATCCAGATGGGCTCTGTGGAGGAGGCAGTGCAGGCACTGATTGAACTGCACAACCACGACCTGGGCGAGAACCACCATCTGCGCATGTCCTTCTCTAAGTCCACCATCTAGGTGCCTCTGGGCCTGCGACAGCTTCCACCATTCCAGAAAAGCCACTTTAAAAGCAGCTGAAGTGACTGACCTTACAGACCAGAGATTTTGTTTATTTTATTTTATTTTTTATTTTTTTATTACTATTTTTTTTATTTTCCAGTTTAAATTTAGATAAGAAACAAGGTTGCTTCACAAATCAGTTCCAGGTCCCTCTCCCTTTCCCTCCCCTCCTCCCGTGCCCTCCCCCCAAGCCCCCCCTTATCCCCTCATTCCCCCAGGGAGGGTGAGACCCTCCATGGGGGTGTCCATAGTCTGTCATTTCGTATAGGGCAGGGCCTAGACCCTTCCCCAAGAATTCAGGGTGAGAGTGCACCTCACATTGTTCTATGGGAGTCCAAAGTCCATGTGTATACTTGGGATGGGTACTGATCTGCTGCCCAAGGCTCAATAGATTCCCTAGGCCTCCTCACTGACACCCAGATTCAGGGGGTCTTGATCAGTCCCATGCTGGATTCCCAGGCATCAGCCTGGGATTCAAGAGTTAACCTTTGTCTGGTCGGCTGTTTCTGGGGGTTAAACCAGCCCAGTCTTAATCCCTTTGGTCATCAGTTCTCCCTCTCTGTTACTGGCTTTCTTGAGTTCAGCTCAGTACTTAACTGAGGGAGTGTGCCTCTTCTTCAATCAGCAACTAAATGAAGTTTCTGTTTCCCAGACTCTCTGGCCATAGGATTGTAGGCTGGCACTCCCCAGATCTATGTCTAAAATCCATATATGAGAGAGTACATGCCATGTTTCTCTTTTTGTGACTGGGTTACCTCACTCATGATGGTTTCTTCTAGTGTCATTCATTTGCCTGCGAATCTCATGATTCCATTGTTTTTTTTTCTGCTGAATAGTACTCCATTGTGTAAATGTACCACATTTTCTCTATCCACTCTTCGGTTGAGGGACGTCTAGGTTGCTTCCAAGTTCTGGCTATTACAAATAAAGCTGCTATGAACATAGTGGAACAGACATCTTTGTTGTATGAATGGGCATCTTTTGGATATATGCCTAAAGAGATCAGTTTGCCTGTTTTTTAAAAAAAAATTAAATCTAATCCACCTTGCCATGGCAGGAAATGGCTTGGGCCACAGAGGTCCAGTCAGGCCAGGCACCATGCCTTGAGGGGCTCAGGCATAAGGCCACAGCAGTGCCCTGAACACGGTCACTTTCGTGCCTTACAAAACCAGCCTCTTGGGCCACCATTCAGTCTCTAGACCTGCAGGTGAGCCAGTGGCCTGCACCACAGGCTCCCTACGCCTTGCAGGAGCTGGGACCACTGCCCCCACCCTTATAATCAAGTGACATGATTCTCCCATGTCCCTGGCCAGCCTGGGGGGGCCCAGGTCATCCTCAGCTGCTGAGCCTCATGTGACCTTGTATTCTATTCCGTGTAGTCGCAGACACACATGCCTAGCAATATTTCCACTTGACCAAATACCTGAATCTTTTCCCATTTATATGCAAGAGATATAGTTTTAAGTAACTTTTTATAGCAATGATACAATGGTATGTGTGTACTCTCAGCTTCTACGTCCCTGTGCTTGTCCCCTCCCTTCCCGGTGACCAACTTGCAGGTGGGACCCAGACCAGTGCTGCCTCTGCCTGGAGAAAAACAGCTCTGAGACCTGTGGGTTCCTACCTCCAAATTTTGGACCAAAGTTTTGTTTTCTTCCCGCCTCTGACTAGGCCAGGTGAGGGGCTGACCTCTAGGCCTTAATGCCCCTCCCAAATGCCCATATCATGCCTAGCCTGTCTGTGGGAGGGGTTCCCTGGACCTTGGTTCTGTGAAGAAGTGGCAAGAGTGTAAATATTTATGATTTTTATACCTGTGGGGCTGAGGCAGTGCAGCAGTTTTTTATGGTGACAGATGTATATTTTGGTAACAACTACAGGCTCAGTATTGTCCCGGGGTCAGCCCTGGTCACATTCCACCCAGTCCCAGATGGTGTGTTGGGGGAGTTTCCATTAAAACAGTTTTCTAATCTGTGCCTTCCCTGAGCCCTTCATTCTAAGCTGTAGAGGTATCAGCCGGGCTGGGCCTGGACTCAATAAACAAACGCCTGTGTCTTGCAAAAAAAAATTTGCTTCCCTAGTCTTGGCCCCATTTAATACAGATTTGTCAGTCACAGCCCCAGTGATGACACATGGAAATGTACTATGAAAACTGTATATGTTGCGTAATATAAAATTGATGCAGCAACATTCATTGAGAGCCACACACACACACACACACACACACACACACACACACACACACACACACCACACTTAATAAAAAAGGAAACCTGATCATTTTAACAGGCTTAAATTTACTAAACTTCTTTTCAGAGCTGCTGTCTAACTTTAGCTTAGCCTAGATACATGCCATTATCAACTGATTCCAGATGCTTGGCAGTACGAAATTAAAAGTTGTAAAGTGGCATAGGAATTTTTAATTGCAGCACAATAGGTTTGATCCATTCTAGAAACTCTTTTGCCTGCATCTATGCTCATGCAACAACTTCCATTATGAGTCACCTCATATCATGAAGATATCTCTGCTAGCAATGTGGCCACCATGTTTTTAGGCCCATACATTCACCTTGTCATCATCCACTAACACAGATGTGGGCAGAATTCAATAAGATCCATTTGGTTTTCTGCTCACATCCTATATTATTATTCATATTGTGCTCCTGTCCAAACTGCAGGATCTGCCAATTAACCTGGGTACCAATTTCCAAGTTTCCTGGCCAATAGTAACATTAGTAAACATCCCCTTTTGGCCTGTGATTTGGGGAAGGGGTGACTCTGAACATCTACTATACCTCATATCTATCTCCCTTTCAGGCAGCCTTGATCTTCTGCTCTTTAGTTTACTCTGAACTCCCAGCTATTGTTCCTGCATTCTGTATTTTTGACATGAACTGGAGATCAAGTATGCCATTGTTGCTTAAGGTTCATATTAACTTTATCATGAGCTATTCTAATTCAGTCTTTGTTACTTACCTGCTGTTTGTGAGGAGATGCATTCTATTTTTCTAACCCTGCCAGAATTGTGATGACAGCTAATTAAGACTTGGGTCTTCTGTTGAGGTGACGTTCCTGCATTTGACAAAACAAGCCTGTCAGAACTTGCTGCTGTCAGCTACTGAGCTCATAGCCTGCAATCTGGAAGGCACTTCAAGTGTAGGAAGTCAAATACCCTTTATAGTCACATGACACAAAGAAGGATTTGCAGCAGTAGGAGGCCAAATTTACAATCAATATTAAATCAAGTTTCCTCCTAGCCCCTAATCTAGAAATTACATCTTCAATAGATCATTTAGTCTTTCCATAAACAGCAGAGAGCAGATATCAAAAAAGATATAAGAGGGGCTAGTAAGATGGTTTGGGGCAGGGGTGAATGAGTAAAGACACTTGCTGTGTAATTCCAACACTCTGAATTAGATCCTCAGAATGCATGCTAAAGATAGGAGAGAGCTGGTTTCACAAAGATGTCCCATGACTACCATGTGCACACCCATACAGGTACTCCCTCCCTGATGATGATGATGATGATGATTTTTTAAAAGCTACAGTAAATAGGGCTGGAGAGATGGCTCAGTGGTAAAGATCCTTGCTATTCTTCCATAGAAACTGGCTTCATACGTCATCATCTTCATGGTGCCTCAAAAACATCTGCAACTCCAGCTCCAGAGCATTGAACACCCTTTTCTGACCTCCAGATGCACCAGGCATAAAAGTGGTACACATACATACAGGTTGGTGAAACATTCATACCCATAAGTTTTCAAAATTATTTTCTTCCTTTATTTTTTTATTTTAAAGACAGGATCTCTCTGTGTAACAGCCTTGGCTGTCCTGGAACTCAACTCTGTAGACCAAGCTGGCCTCAAACTCACGAAGATCCTCCTGCCTCTACCTCCTGAGTGCTGTGATTAAAGGCATGCACTGCTATCACCCCATTTAAATATTTTTAAAAGATACTGGAAATATCTCGTTGATATGGAAGAGAATATTTCTCTCTTTACCAAACATTAGTCATATTCTTTTCAGACTTCTTCTTGACTATACATTGAAATGTATTTTATCTTTGCTGTACTTACTTAGCCCATATTTATAAAACAAATCTAATGATTAAGAGAGAATCACCAGTCCTCAATAACTTTTTACATTCTTCATTTTCCACCTTTGAGATATATGGTTGGCCTGCATTCAGCAAAAACCCAAAGTCAGATAAACAAGGATCCCGCTGCACTTGGTGATCTTATTTATAACTGTCAACTCAACACCCATTCAAATACACTTCTTGGTTATAAGCTCATATTTGTTCTTGATGTGTTTGCAGTTCAGCCTAATCTCTTTTTCCTACTGGGGGAGTCTTTACACCTATGATGATACTCATGAGCAATCTTTCCTTGCCATTTTCATAAGTTTAATGGTGATTTGTTTTTATTCACACATTCACCACATACATCAGTGAATCTCATTCAGTAGCTCATTGAACTTTCTCTACAATATTACAACGTAGGTAATAAAATGAATCTCACAAGTAAAAATGAAGTGAAATAATTTTGTATATTATGTAATCACGATGAAAAAATAGAAAATAATAACAAGAGAAATCACAGATTTACAAATGCTAGTGGGTAACTGAATAATTAGGAATAAATTTTTCTTACAATTAAATGAAAATGATAGTACAAATTACCAAAACTTTGAGATGCAAAAAAGCAGCTACAATTGGAAAATTTATAGTTATTAATGCTTATATTTTAAAATCATAAATATTTCAAATTGCTGAGCAATCAACTTCATGGTCCTTAATGAACAATTGAGGCCCCAAAGGAGCAGATAGCAAAAAATAATAAAAATAAGGGAAGACATTAATGAAACAAGAATAAAAGAACAGTACATTGGACCAACTAATCAAAACAAAGAAAAAGAAAACTAATAAAACTAGAAAAAAACATAAAATCTTAGAGCATCAC